AGATAATGGGGGGGGGGGGGGGGGTAGGGTTTTAAAATATTAAGAAAAGATAATAAAAAAGGATATTTCGTTACTTCGCGGGCCGCCTAGAGGGTTTGACGGGCCACATGCAGCCCACGGGCCGTAATGTTGTGCAGGCCTGCTTTATACCATCGTAGTATCTATCCTGCTATGGGTGTATCTTACATAGACACAATACATGGGCGACAGTATATCTTAATTTCTATATTTCTTTGTTCGTCCTCACATTTAGTTCTGGATGTAAGACGGTGCACGTGCTACGAGTTAAACCATGCCACGTGATTTAGTTTATAATTGGACATTATAACAATAATTTCATTTTAATTGCCATTTGTATAGCCTTGGCATCATTATGTGTATATTGTTATAATCTTTAATTACTTAGTTATTTAACATGTTTATTGTTAGCTGTGCAATTCAGTGTCAGTCCAGACATTGCTAACCTGCGTAGGGCCTACTATTTGTGTCTTTTCAGGTAGTGTCCCTTTTCTTTGGACTTTTCTTTAGATATTTCTACAGATTTTACTTTGGCACTGTTTATAGAATCAAATAACGCTTTAGCCCTGAAGACCTTATTATATTGAGTGTATATTTTAAAACCGTCCGCTGTCCTATCACCACAACACGGCTAAATATAGTATATATGTTGCATTCGATTTCACGAGGTGGTCCAATTTTTAATATGTCGCATGTCTAGGAAATGTAGCAAATCTCTCCTCTGGCTAGGAAAAGCAGCTAAAACCCTCCAGAAATTGTGTTCTAGAAATTGCATTAGTAGACTGTATTCTTTATAACAAATTAAAACGTAAATAACCTTTTCTAAATCAAGGGAGGGGTGGGTTGATAGAGTGTTACACATTTTATCAATAACTACAAAATTTTTAAAAAATTGAGGAGGGAGGGGGGGGGGGGCGTGTTGACACTAGCGCTACGTTGAAATAAAATTAGGTCAACACACAGGCTATAACAATCCTTTCTTACTAAGTCAACGTTAAATTTACGTCGATATCTTTATATTTTAGTGTTCATTGTTTGTTTGGTTTTTTTTTTTTTGTTTTTTTTTTTTTGTTTTTTTTTTTTTTTTTTTTTTTTTTGTTTTTTTTTTGTTGTTTTTTTTTTTTTGTGTGTTTTATTAAATGACAAAAATAACAAAATAAGATTGTATTATATCTTTAAAATTTGGTAATTTTAAAAAAAAATGTGGAGCTAGGTAAATGACTACTGTGTTTCTGACTGAAGCAAGTCTTAATTAACTTGGACTTGTTAAACAAAATGTTAATGCCGATGTTTCGATAGAATGAAAACAATGAAGCGGCCATTCGAAGACCATTAGAACAGTACAGAATATTCAGTGTCTGGGTGAGCTGATTTTCAGACAAAGATGTTCCTCGCAGTCACAAAAGTCCCCGAGAATTTGAAGGAGCAACTGGCATATCACGAAGAACAGGACAACGAATTACAAAACAAGATCTTAACTTTAAACGTGCATGCGCGTAATAGGGCAGATTATAAACTGCAAAACCGGCGGCACTTCTTCTGTATATAGAGGTGCTTAAATTTTAGGCTTTTCCCCGAAAGCCGATTTTCCTCGGCGCGGCCCCTTCACGAAGCACCAAGACCACTTTTTTTTTTCAAGGCTTCGATTTTATACAGGGTGGCCCCCCAAAAAAACAGTGATAACATCTCATAGCAAAGGGTTATTTAATATAATTGAATTAATAAACAGTTTTGTCATGTATGGTCACCGGAAATTGTCATGATAATGACATCATATAGTTATATGAATACAAAAGTAAATCAGTAAATGGATACAGTTAACAAATATTGATGTAATTATATTACATTTTAAGAGATGTTATCACTTTTTTTCTGGACCACCCTGTATACTTGGTGCACGTCAATATGACGCCCCCCCCCCCCAAAGCCTCCCACCTTCAAATAAAAAAAATAAATAAATACGTAAACAATTTTTTAAAAAAATTAAATAAGTTAACTTTTTGATTAGGGTTACCCTACGTCTGTAATAGTCGCTTGGCAAACAATCATTTCATGGCATGTTAATGTTGCAAGCGGAGAGCGCAGTTTCTCTAACTCTAAATTAAGCTCATCAAATGCAAATTGAGCTCAACCATGGCAAAGCTCATGTTTGATGAACATCATTGATAATCCACCCATGCAGTGGCGTAGTTAGGGTGTGCGGACCGCACCGGGTGACACGATCTCAGGGGTGGGGGGGGGGGAGGGGGGAGCTGGGGGTTGGCACCAAATTGAAAAAAAACAACATATATATCAGAGCACACACTGTTTGGTCTAACCGAATTTCATAAAAGGATAACCGACCACACGTACATTTTCCACACGTGTAATCAATCCAAATGCGAGCTTTCTTAAAATTTCAAGGTTGATGCGTCAGAAATTATGTGACCATATCAATAGGTTAGAAAAACACCATTTTGACCATGATTCAACGCTGATTGAAGTGTTCGCGAACTTTCGTAAGTGACAGGAAGCTATATTTATCTAAATTGTGAGAAATGCAGCTTTCTATTGATACCAATGGGCGATTCTAAGTACATGTTACATATCTTAAATACATTACCTCCTGACCCTCACTTAATTTGTTCTTGTCATTGTTATACGGTGGGCTTATTTGAACAAGAAGAAATCCATCGTGGCAGTCGAGGGGAAGGGGATGACACCACGAGTTTACCACAGCGGGTGCCACCAACCCTAGCCACGCCACCGAATCCACCAACAAAGTGCTGAGCTTTATAAGCTAGATTGGTCGAAGCATTTGCGTAGCACAAAGAGTGCATGCTCCTCTTGGAGCGAGCCAGTGAATAAATCCAAATGTTTAACAGTCAGTTAACGTTAACTACACACAAAACATAAACTTTAAACGGTGGCGGTCTAAACCGTAATGTTGCAGGGGCCTCTAAAAGTCACGCGGCGGCTCTAGACACACACACACGTATGTATACAATGTTATATTGTACCCAATGCAAAGGTGCTTCCCTAGGTGGTCACCCCTTTCGTACCCCTACGATACTAAAGATGGATATTAGTTGGATCCATCATTTAATGTTTAAGCTAATAATAAAATTAGCTCATTTAATATAAAAGTTAACCGTAACAAAGGTACAGAGGCGTAGCGAGGGTGTTTGGCGCCCGGGGACACGATTCGCGCCCGGGGACAAGATCCATTTTAAAGCGCCCCTTTTTCTCTTTTTTTCAACTCTCAAACCCATTATTTTTACCAATAATATAAAATCAAAGCACATTTTGGCGCCCCTAACTAGCTTGTGCCCGAGGACATCTGCCCCCCCCCACGCCACCCCCTCGCTACGCCTCTGCAAATGTAAAACAGATTAAACCCCCACCCCTATTTTTCCACCGAAAACTAAAAATTCATAATTCAAAATAATAAAATTATGTATGCTAAACCCGAGGAGACCACAGTAAAAAAAAAAAAAAAAAGATAAAAAAAGATCTGTTGACATAAAACTAAAAATTAAAAATTCAAAAAAAAAAAATTATGAAAGCTAAACCCGAGGAGACCACAATAAAAAAAAAAAAAAAAAAGATAAAAAAAGATCTGTTGACAAAAGAACGTGACGTAAAGAAGTGCCATCAAATAAGATCTCGACTTTGTTCAGAAAACACCAGTCACGTCATTTGGATCATGTCACGGCATGTTTATACTACGTTACATCATGTGTACCAGTGATAACAGATTTATCTACTAGCCCCCTTGTTTATATTACCTGGTATAATATTTTTTTTTACTAGATCCAATTAAGTGGCTTTAAAGATAATTAATATTCGTGAATCAATTCACACAGAATAATATAGAGGGAAGTTATACCGCGCTGCGGATGTTCGTTGCTCAGTGATATCAGATGTTCATTGCTGAGTGATGTCAGATGTTCGTTGCTGAGTGATGTCAGATGTTCGTTGCTGAGTGATATCAGATGTTCATTGCTGAGTGATGTCAGATGTTCGTTGCTGAGTGATATCAGATGTTCGTCGCTGAGTGATATCAGATGTTCGTTGCTGAGTGATGTCTAATGAGACTACTCACAGCAATGAATGCATGCCTCATATCCGTCATCGGCAACAAAGTAATCATGATCCCTACCCTGTTTCTTCCGTTATTTCAACTGCAGGTTTGACCACAGCATGCAATAGTTTTGTAATGGCTACAGTTTGCACTATGGTTGCTACACTACAAGAGGTCTACCAGCGTCACGACAAGAAACTGAATCATTTTCACACAACCTGCCTCAGGAAACTCCTCGGCATCAGGTGGCAAGACAAAGTCCCTGACACAGAGGTCCTCGCTAGAGCGAACCTACCTAGTATCTTCACCACCCTGATGCAGTCTCAATTCCGTTGGATAGGTCACCGTCTGCAGCAACTATCACATGCCCGCGGTGCCAGAGATTGTTCCGTGCATGGATCGGTCTAGCAAGCCACCGAGCTCACCGTAACCCACCCTCTCCTTAACCGGATGACTCGGTGGTCCTAGTCGACTTCGACGGACGGACGAACAACAACAACAAGAGCACTAAAATATTAAGCTAAACACATTAAAAAAATATATATATGGTGGTTCCTCTTCTCTCCGGATGCCCTAAGCACGTGCTTATTAATGTAATGGTTAATCTGGGGCCTGGGGTGGTGTGTACTATGGAAGGGACGAGGTGAGTATGTACGTTCCCGCGACTCTCCGCAGATCAGGGGACGCAATTAGCAATAATACCCTTGATCCGTTTGCTGACAACCAACGTCATGCCTCTGTATTGAAGAAATCCGTTTTACGCACAATTTTGTGCACTTCACAATTTTTTCGAAGAATTTTTAGTGTAAATAAATATATTGAACGCGTTATGACAGACAGAAAAGACTTTCAAGTAGCCTATGCCAATGCCACGCCTATCCCTCATAACTTGTAGTGAAATTCTCTATTTCCGGCTGTTGAGGAATAGAAATTGTGAAGAGTTATCCTAGGTCCTGGAAACCAAGAAAGCATGGCGGATCCCAACATGGGTAATGAATATTCGACTGAAGGAGATCCCAATGAAGAGGTTCCAAAAGATCCTCTGTCTATTACCGAGGAAGATAAAAAAAATGCTGAAGAACTAAAAGAAGAAGCAAATTTACTTTTCAAAAGTAAGAATCAACCAAATGCTGTCTAAAGTGTATGAATTAGGTCGAATTCTTTAGAATCAAAATAATCCCAAGTCCAAGTGACCCAAGTTAAGCCTAAATACTAAATTCAGATACTCGTAAAATAAAAATAACTAATCACACTGTCAATTACAATAAATTGTACTGGCAATGGAATTGCCTCATTTGGCATAATATTTTAAATTATTTTTACTTAGTGATAGTGTTAGGCCTATTTATTAATATTAATAGTCTGTCTGAATAGACTAGAGAAATAGCCGAAATTTCTATTAAAAATTATCACAACATACTGAACATAGAATTGTCATTGTTAGTTTGATTGTAATAGTAATATTAATTGTTAGTGACTTCAGTGAGTCACTGCTGGTCACTAGAGGTACTAGACTGTATATGCATTTTTTTGTAAGTGTAAGACTAGACAATTAGACAAAATGAAAAGCATGAGTTGTCCATTGTGATTTCACAAGTATAACTATTTTAAATATATTAGGGTGGAGAAAAAAATAATTCAATATTAATATTTGGATGAAGTTTGTAGTTCTTATGATTGTAGTCGTAGTATGTCTATTCATTGGTCACTAAATTAAAATAGTATAGTAGACCTATACTACTAACTTCCCATTCAATCGCCAACAATCGGCAATTTTTTTGCATGTCCATTTTACTACTAATATCAATAAATGGACTTAAATGGCTTTTATTAAGCTTTACTGTGAAGAAAGGCGGAGGAGTGGCTAAACAAAAAATTAAATAATTATGCTTTCGCCTTCGCCATTTATTCAATATTCAACATTTTATGTTGATTAGTTTTAGCTAAATTTAACTTTTATTGAATGGGCCTAACCATGCAATGAAACATTATCTAAATAAGTTTAAATAACAAATGGAAAATTAGTTTAAAAACATTTTCGTATGATTTACAAAAGCTAAGATATGCAATTTACATTGAATAAATCTCTTGCATATACCGTATCAAGTATTCATGCTATTTTGTCCAATTTTTTACCACCCACGCCCTCTCCATATCAACGAAATTGTGATAATTAATTAGACACTTTTATCAGCTCAAATAAGTGACCTACCATACCCAGAGTATTGAAATGTAAATAGTTCTGGTCTTAGCTCAGTTTTTAAAATATGGCACTTAATTGATTTTTACACCAGGCCCTTCATTTGGGAATATGTGCTCAGCTGATTTATTACTGTACCAGCATTCATATCATGTTTTTATATGTCTTATTCTAATGTCACCTAATATAAATGACTTTAACCTTTAGATTTTCGTAGTTTTAAGTCACTCATGAAGCAAGATTTACAAGAGTATTTACTAATATTCATTAAATTAAATTATTTCTTTTCTTACTTGTGCTGTATTTTTGGTCAGATGAAAGTTATTCCAAAGCAATTGAAAAGTATTCTGCCGCTATTCGGTTGAATCCCTTTGTTGCAGCCTATCATGGCAACAGAAGTTTTGCATACCTACGCACAGAGTGCTTTGGATATGCACTATCAGATGCATCTAAAGCTTTGTCTTTAGATAAGAATTATCTTAAGGTGGGTTAAATGCACTTATAAAATTAATTCTGTTCTAATTAGGATTTTTTAATGATTTTTAAATAAATTTTTGGACATACATACAAGTTTTTTGAAAAGAATTTTGCATTTATTTAACAACAGTGTTTTTCTGTTAGTAATATTTATGACGTTTTCAACTTGCAGGCATATTATAGACGAGCATCTGCTAACATGGCATTAGGAAAGTTTAAATTGGCATTGAAAGACTTTGAAGCTGTGAGTTTTGACTAAAACAAATTTGCAGATTTTCTAGTGACAACAAAATTACTACATAGATTTTGTAGAGGATCATGTTTTCAAAGAGAGATATTACCATGAAATTTTTATTTTTACTCTTACTCTTAATAAATATCTTGACTTTGGAGTGGAAAATCTTAATTATTAAAATTTGATTTCATTTATATAATATAAAGAAAGATTGAAATTTTAATGTACTGTAAATGTAAATTTTAATTTTTTACAAACATTAAAATATTAAAAAATATAAAATTTACCACCTTTGAAGCTTACTTTTATTATTGTATGTTTTAAACTTTAGGTGACCAAGGTGCGTCCCAGTGATAAAGATGCTAAGATGAAGTTTGATGAGTGCAATAAAATTTGCAAGAGAATAGCATTTGAAAAAGCAATTGCCACAGATGATGGAAAATGTTTATCAGACACTATTGATATTGAAAGTTTAGGTGAATAGAGCAACTTTACCATCCAATGTTCTTTATTGTTACAAACCAATCTTTACCATTCAATGGTCTGCGCATCTATTTCATACACAAGTTTCCAATATGATTTAATCAGTTCTTACATTGTATTTCATTATAGAATTATTATACCTGAATTCTTGAAAACTCTATTTTCTAGTGGATATATGGCTTATTATATGGTAATAATAATTAATATTATGTGTGCAGCTGTTCTGTTCAATTAAAAACACTTAGTTGCAAAGGCTATAATTCCTTTTATAATTTCATTTTTTTAAAACAATCTATATTAAACATTTAATGTTTTCAATATCTTGGCTATAGTAATTTCTCTTTTATTTTCTTTTAGTTATTGAGCCAAATTATGATGGTCCACATTTACAAGATGGGAAAGTAACTAAAGATTTTGTTGAAAATCTAATGGAAGCCTTTAAAGAACAAAAGAAATTGCCAAAGAAATATGTTTGTCAGGTGCTTATATCCAATATTTATTAAGATTATGATTAATTATAAATATATCTAAAAAGAATTGTAATTGTTTTAATGAGTAAAATTTTAAAAACATAATAGCTTGTGTAATGTTAACAATCTAAAATAATTCTATTTCAGATTTTGATACAAGCAAAGAAACTTTTCAGTGAACAGGATTCACTTGTTTATATTGATGTACCTGGGGTAAAAAAAAAAAAATATTTTTATTCCCCTAAGCCTAATATTTTTGTTCTTAATGTAGTTATGGTTTACCTCCCCAAGTCACTTTGGAAAAAGTGAATCTTCTTTAAACCAAAAATCTTTTTAAAATATATAGTTTTAAGAACTGCATTTTCAAGTTGTCCTAAGGTTTACCTGAACATCATTAGTTTCTAATGAGGTGTTAAGACCACCTCTGTTAAAAAAAATTAAGAAAAAAAGAAACTAGGATGAGTTATTTATAAATTATTATGTTATTGAAATATGTTACACTACAATGATTTTTTAAATACTATAGAATTATGGAGATTTATTTTAAGAATTCTGCCCTTGTTTCTTTTTCAGAAATCAAAATTTACCATTTGTGGCGACATTCATGGCCAGTATTATGATTTACTAAACATTTTCCAAATGAATGGAAATCCTTCAGAAGAAAACCCATATGTATCCTAAAGTTAATAACTAGTTTTAAATACTTACACTGCCTGAAGAAAGTTACTTTCAGTTATTAAATATGAAAATATAATTGATTGTTTTATGTTACTATTGAGACAAATTTCATCAACTGGAGCAGGATGTTTGAATGGTTTCTTATGCAGTTTACAGTTTATTATATTTCTAAATATGCAAAGAACTCAGTTAATTTTAACAACAAAATGTGTGTTTTTAATTCATCTTGTAGATTTTGTATCACCTTGCACATTTATTTGTTTACTTTATTTTCAATAATCTAAGAGATTCCTTAAGTTTCTATCAGCTTTTCAATGGAGATTTTGTTGACAGAGGATCCTTTTCTGTTGAATGTATAATGACCCTACTTAGCTACAAACTTCTTTATCCAAAACATTTTTTCATGGCACGAGGTGAGATGAAAAACATAACACTATTTTCAGTTTAGATTTAAACATTACTGATCTTTTCTCATACTTTAAATTTTAAAGAAAAAAATTTACCTTCTGGTATTTCTATTTTAGGATATAAATTGGTTAATTTTGCTATTTTTTCAGGCAATCACGAGAGTTTAACAATGAATCAAATGTATGGTTTTGAAGGTGAAGTCAAATCAAAGTATCCTTTTTTTCAACTTCAATTGTAACTGTTACAACAGTTATATAAATGTAGCTAATTGGTTTTGTCTTCATTCATGATTTATTAAATAAAACAAAATTAAATTTCATTTGATGCCATTATATGAAATTCCTATCATAAAGATAAAATGTACTATATTTTTAATTACCAGTACTTTTCAATAAGATGTATTAGGCTTCTTTATTTAAGATGTTTATTTCCAACATGGTTTACATACTGATAACATTATGTGCTGTTACAAAATCACACTCGCACACACACATATATATATGTCTGCATTTGTGTTATCACGCATGGACTACTGCAATGCTCTCATGGTGGGTCTCCCAGCTACGCTCCTGGATAAAATTCAAAGACCACAGAATAATGTGGCTCGCATTTTTCTTCGCAAACGCAAATTCGACCATGCTAAAACACTTCTGAGGGAGCTACACTGGCTGCCGGTCCGCGCTCGCATAGAGTACAAAATTGCAACTTTGTGCTACCGCTGCTTACATGACCTGGCGCCATCTTATCTCAAAGCACTCATGACGCCTTATGTGCCCACTAGAGAGCTCCACTCATCTGATAGTGGCAAAATATCGATACCGTGTGTTCGCCTTGAGACTTACGGAAAGCGCACTTTTGCATTTGCCGGCCCAACAATTTGGAACGCACTTCCAGTCGCTCTCAGAAACAGCCAGACACTGGAGTCCTTTAAAACCGATTTAATAACACATCTATTTCGCAAACACCTTCTGGGGTGATGCTATCTACCATCTTTTTCAGTTAATGTATATTGGCTTGTGTTGCTTATGGTTGAAACGGGATGAAAGACTTAGACTCAGTATGCTCGTATTTAGCTTTATATTGTTGCGTCTGTTTTTAAATGTGGTAAATTTTAGATTGTTTTTATTTCTCTTTTTAATATGGTTGGTACCGCGCTTCGAGCTTTTGGGTATGAAGCGTGTTTTTCAAATAAACTTTATTATTATTATTATTTATTATTACATATATATATATATGTATAGTCTCATTTCTCTGCCAGTGCACACAATGCCTTAACTTCATAAATAGATACTCAACACAACTGTGTGAACTTTTCACAGAGGTTTTTAATTGGCTTCCTTTAGCACATTGTATAAATAAGAAAATTTTGGTAGGATAATTTTATAGTTGTTTGCATTGTTTAATTTGTTGTTTTGTCTATACTGAAGCTTGATTGAAATATGCTTTACACATGGATTTCATGACCTGAAAATCTTACTTTATGAACTGAAATTATATACACCCCAGTATATTACTTAACATTTTTTATGAGGTTGGGGAAATTTACTTAAGTAAATTTTTAATTTCATATGATTAGAACTGTTCATCCTCTTATCTCCAATGAAAGTTAAATACCATAACTAATGGAAAACTTGAATTAATTATTTTTGTAAGAACTTGCTTTAAAGAAAAATGTCTTCTACTATAAATACCAGTTCAATACTTTGTTGATACCTCACTGAAGAATGTTTATAAAAAAAATGCAACTCCTTTCTCCTGTAACAAAGTTCAAATCAGCAGTTAGAAACCTTGCATGAACTAATTTAGTTACATTTTTTCTACTTCGATTTAAAAAAGTGACTGTTTTAATTCATACTTATCAGGTCATGCATGGTGGGCTTTTTTCTTCTGATGAGGTTACACTGAATGATATTGCCTCAACACATCGGAATAAACAACCCCCTGAAAGTGGTATGTCAATTTTTTTTTAATGTTCCATATGAGTAAAACCCTCAAATTTGATATGAAAATTTTAGTTTAATTTTTTTTAATATAACGTTAGTCAAATATAAAATTTGTCGGAGAAGTTCTGCAAGCATCCATAACAACACTCATCTTCTGATGAGTCATTCTTTCAGCATTACAATTTCAATATACTTTTTCATGTAGGTATTATGTGTGAGCTGTTGTGGTCAGACCCCCAGCCTCAGGCTGGACGAGCCCCAAGTAAGCGAGGGGTAGGTGTCCAATTCGGACCTGATATAACCAAGAAATTTTTAGAGCGCAACAATTTAGATTATGTGGTCAGAAGTCATGAGGTGAAAAATGAGGGCTATGAAGTGATGCATGATGGAAAGTGTATAACAGTCTTCTCAGCACCAAATTACTGGTAAGTTTTTAGTAATCACTTCACTGTCATTTCACTGAAAGAAATTTAATGCATAAAATATTTTATTCTGTCTATTAAATACCAATTATTTCGAGTGAAAAATAAATAAAATGCATGAAAACATTTCTTGAAAAATGATAAATTTTGATAGAATTATTTTATTGAATTGTGAATTTTATCAATCTGAAGATTTTTTATTGATCATTGTTGTCTTGGTAAAATCTAAGTGTCTCTGTTCTTTTCTTCTTTTTGTTTTTGTATATCCATTATATTTGTAATATATGTTAATGTTTTTATACGCACATGAACTTTCAGTGATACAATGGGAAATAAGGGAGCCTACATCAATATTACAGGAGACAACTTAACACCCAAATTCACAACATACAGTGCAGTGGTGAGTAAAATATCAGAGTTAATAATATAATAGTTCTTATAATATAGTGTTGCAATGGTATCTGCCACTTCAAGGACACCTACATGAGCAAATGAATTATAAAAACATGAGGCCAATGTTTTCATCATTGGGGTAGAGTGGGGGGGTTAGGGCATGCATTTTGTCTCTTATAGTTTAGAGATAGAGTTGCATTTTTCTTGCAAGGGGTTAGAGATAGAGTTGCATTTTTCTTGCAAGGGGTTGATGGTCGCCTTCAAATTTTGCAAAAGCTTTCCATCTTGTAACACCCCTCCATACCTAGCTGCTTAATCATTTTCAGGGACCCTAATGCTAAACCATAGACAGACTCCAAATTTTAAATACCGGTTCCGATATACAAAATTATTTTGAGATATAGAAAAAAGTATGTAAATATTATATTATGGCCAGACGTTTCTACCAGCTCCTCAGCTGTCACAGTTCTGTTTAAATTGAATTACTAAATCATTTCCTTCAAATTACATGCATTATAAATGGTTAAAGTTAACATGCAGTGTGCCCAATTTAATTAATTATGACCCACATAAATTAACAAAGTGGATGTCAGATCATTGATGTTGTTTTTTTTTTTTAATTTCAGCCCCATCCAAATGTGAAACCTATGGCTTATGCAAACCCATTTTTTGGACTATTTTAGTTTTATATGAATTTAGTTTATGAATGGAAAGTATAAATGGATGTGCGATTCATTAGGTGTCATCAATACATTACTTACCGGTACCCCAAAAATATATTTTCATACCACGTCACACCTGTTGTTTCAGATATCCCCTTTATGTTAATGATAATGCTCAAAAGAGCCTCAGTCAAGGTCTTTTATTTTGCTTTCTAAATCTTTTCTATACATAATTAAAAACTATATTTTTGGGGGCTAAAAATTGTTGACGTCTCCTATCATTCTACTTCTAAAAGTCCACCTCTTTGAAACCAATTTTTAAAAAAATGTTATTGTTAGAAATAGTTAACACCTGTAGCCTGTAGATTTTCCAGGTTCAGAAAAACTACTGTTTAGGAAATATTTAAAAAATAATTAATGAAAATGTAATTGAATGCCATGGATTGGCCAGCATGGTACTGCTATGAAATCTCCTTAAACACCCTACCCTCCTGAATCACCTTGGTGCAGTAATGTTATAATGTTAACTGTGTTAATATGTGGATGACCTCTAATCTAAATTTTATATCACATTAGCATTTTTATAAGTTTTGTACACCTTTCTGGCATTTGAAAGATAGATGTGATTGTAGTGTACAGTTATTTATATGCAGATATCAGGGTTAGTTTTATTTTTATTTAATGTGTTTTGAATTAGGGAATGCTGGGTCAGGGGTTCTTAGTGGCTGGTTGAATGCTATGGTTGCATTAAATTGTTGCAAAGTTCATTTTTTAAAGTTCAAATTAAGTCTGTGTTGGTTAGAGGAAACAAAAAAAAAACTGAACTAAAACTGTTAACATTTCTTGTAACTCAAGGCTTATGTGTGAAAGATCCACAGTCTATCTTTATGATTAGTGCTTCTTTTGATAACTGTTACAGAATCTTCCATACACTGCTCCTTGTTGTAGCTTGTGCTGATATTTCATGCATCTCAAAAATTAAAGCTGTAAAAAGAAATCTCTGAGTAAAATTTTTAGTATTTAGATTATTATTATAGAGTTTTCTAGTTTATTTATAAATAGAAAAATATGGGGCTTTTGCTTGTAAATTGTAATGCTTTTAAAAAGATTAGTTTTCTTTATCACAAAATAATGAAAACAAATTTTATGAGAACATATACCGTATACCTCTGTGTGTTTTTATGTTTATTTTATGACTATGTCTAACACTTTTTGATGAATAATATTTGCCATTTCATTTAGTATTGAATAATCCTAAATCCATTCGCCCAACTATTTATTGAAATCATCCAAAAACAGTTACCTCTGTTATGTTAAATAATTTAATTTACGACATCAGATGCTTCATTTTGTAAGTTTAACTCTTGTTAAATTGGCTATCACTGAAGGAATTTTTTTTATTTAGAAAAGTATTATAGCTTTCATGTTATCTATCAACTGTCTAAAAGCGAACCTTAGTAAATTGTTATGAAGAGCTGTGTTCTCTTTTTTAAAATGTAATTATTGTAATTAAATTTAAAGCATATTCAGAACAAAGACTTAAATTTAAATTATCTGTATCCTTACAATTACATTCTGAAGAGCGCATAATGCAGTTTAAATCTAATTTAAAGAATTTTTTTGTAAGTGAAATTTTATGAATATGTGATATGATTCCTGGGAATGATAAAGAAAAATACAGCATGAACTAAGGGAACAATAAAATCTGGCAGCTGTTAATGTAGTTTCTTTTGTTTTTTTTGTAAATCAGTGATATATTAAATCAAATCTATATTTTTTGTACCTGGGAAATGAATTATGGTACTATGAGATAGCTAGTCAAAAATTTTGATTTATCAATATTATGTAATGACATAACTATAGTGCTATACACTGTTGCTTGTCCTTAGAACATTAACAATTTAGTAAATTCCAAATATTTTGATTTTATGTCTTTGGTTGCCATAACATCTTCGAAGTAAAAGTAGGTGTTAATTATGGAGAGGGATTCTTGTGATAATTAGTATAGGTATATTATAGGCAAGTAAAATTGATCCTTGAATTTTTTTATTCTTCATTTTTTTAAAAAAAAAGGTGGGGGAGCATATTAGATCTTAAATTATCAATATGATTATAGAAGTTTGTAAGCAGTACAGCATGCATTTTATTTTTGACCATTAATTATTTCCCCAAAAGATCTTTTTTTTATTGCCCTCGCAAAATATACAACTGTAACCGTGCCATAACTAATAATTGTAATTGTTTTCTAAACTGATATTTATTTTTCAAGTCTTTAAGATGTATCGGTATTGAAAAAAATAACAAAGACCTCTTAGTTCATTCAAATAAAAGCTTTTTATTTTTAACAGCTATTTATTTACAATTAATATTTTGAAACTTGCTAATGCAAGTAGCACCCTAATTCTTTATGCATTAAAATGTAACATTTTTTATAGAAGTTAACAAGCATTAATTTACATGAATCAACAAATAATGTTGAGCACCAGTAATGCAAAATAAACTTGTATTGCCTTAATGAAGTAATGAAAATAAAATTAACGGGGTTGCATACAGATAAGAAACTCACTTTCTAATGTAAGTTTCACAAGATGCTAAATTCTAAGTCACCATAGTATATTACCACACATTATAAATAGAGAGTAAAGTAACTGGGCTTTTTATGAGGAATTAACTAAAGACAAGGCCATAAGTGTTGTTCAGATATTTTAAAAAGTCAACAAAATTAATTTTAGTCTCAAAGATTTTTGGATTATTCTAAGTACCTGGTAAGTTTAAACTTGTTTTAAAAATGTATAAAATAATTAAATGGTTTCAAATAAGTTAAATAGTTAAAATGAAAATAAAGGGTAAAGTACGTTCTAGAAAAGCATATCACAGATTACGTCTTTGTTCAAAAATAATTCACACACTTTGTTAATACCAGAGGGGGGAAAAAATGGATAGTGTTATCTGTATTGATCAATGCACATTATAGCACTTTGCAGACAGTGTCAAGATCATTCAATATTTAAATTAAAAAACATGCTAAAATGATTTATACATGTCTTTTGCCCTCTTGTTCAAGTAGTTGTAGCACCAATGAGTTAATATCCCAGTATTTTTTAGGGGCACACCAGTCCTCTGAATATCATCATGACATTAAAGGGGTTTTGTTTGAAAGCTTTGGTTTTCAGTTAGGTTAGTGAATTAAAATTAGTTCTTCAGAATTCTGGAACAGATAAACATGTAATAATAACATTGTCATCTCTCCTTTGGTACAACATTTCTCCTTCAAATGTTACCAATCCCTGCTTCCTTGCCCGTAGTAGCATACCAACCAGTTTGTTAGAGATTTTTGTGTAGGCTTCAAATAAATGTCCAAATTTAATACTGTAGCTATCACTGTCAGCAGAGATAGGAGTGCCTGAAAAAAAGTATAGGAAGTAAAAAATAAATAAAATATGAGCCCATTGACAAAATAAAATCATAATTTTTGTCTGTTAAATCTGCCAAAGATAAACATTTGTTTGAAAAACACAACACAAATTCTCTTTCTCCCCCCTTTTTTTTTTCTTTACACTTTTAATAAGGTATTGGATTGGATGTATAAATTGTAAAGAAAGAAAAAAAATAGTTACTTTCTATTGCACACACCTAGGGTGTGAATGAAAAAAAAAAAAGATTTGTATGGTAACTCATCCAAAATCAGTGGGTCTCATGTATTAATTTAGGAAAAAGAACAAAATCAAATCAAGCATATTGCAGTATCAGGAAATTGATAGAGAAATTGGAAATATGTGAGAAAGCAAAAGGAAATGATTTTAAAAAGTTAATTTAGCAAAATGAGTGTAAAATTTAGGAATTTCTTAGGAAAATCTGTCATAAATCCTAAGATTAAACTAACCAGTAAGTTATCGGACAATATGTACAGATGTGTTAAGCAAAACTTTAGATGGCCAATGAAAATCATACCGAGATCTTTAATAACATGACATAGTTCCACAATTTCTGCACTGATATGTTGGCCAGCCTGGATGCCTCTGGTTTCAGTCATAGAGCCTTCAACTGGGTGACCATATTTAGGATCACTTTTGTCTAAAACTGGTTTGTGAGAAGCTCCACTCCATTCAGAAAATGGATTCATCAGTTGTTTCTCTTGGTGTTCATTGGCTCGCTTTTGCCATAGCGAAATTGTGTTGCCTAAATGGCTTTTGTGTGATGAATGACCAGATGCCATTTCTAACAGTTAAAATGTTAAAAGTATGTTACCTACACTATTTTAACTTAAGTTTAATTATTTTTTTTTACATTAAAAACTAGTTTAATAACAAATCATTTTTAGCTAAGCACAGCAAAGGTTTATTTTGAATACCGGTGCGGGTATTTATTATTAAACACTGTAATGCACAATTTACCACATAACACTAACAATGTACCTCTTTAAAAAGATGGGCTGTCCATTAAATGATCAACGCTAATAATTTATCATAATTTACCAAAATCAACTTTTAAAAAATATAACTATTTACAATAGGCGCTTAAAGTTAAAGAGAATGTGGCTAGTGCTTGCTTATATTTATATATAATATATCTTAAATAAATTAATAATAAGCTAAATTTAAATTCATTACATTTTCATTTTGTAATGAAGGGAATTTATTAAGAAATGTACCATATCTTTAAGTTTACCAACTTGGCCTTCTTAGAACATTAAAAAACTTTTGTTTAATGTATTTATTTATAAAAACAACTCTATACTATAGCCTATAGTTATAGTCCTAGTGAAATAGTAGTGATGTGATTAGGTTAGGCATATTGATCATTGATGATATTAGTATTAGTTTTAATAATAATAATAATTTAAGTGCATTTAATTTTAATATGAATATAATAATAATAATATGAATATGGTAACTATAATTTAGTTGTAGAGCCTAGACTAGGACTAGATAGAAGATAGTTTCAAGCTGTTCTGAAACTGAAGTCGAAGTAACATTGCAGTAAATTTGACTTTATTGAAATTGAAAGCTAAATTATGATAAATAAATATTAATAATTAAAGCTACCTCATTGAAAACAAAGAGTGAAGACTTTAAGTAACTACTCACTAAGACTCTGTAACACTAACACTGTGAGTCTGAGTGAGGCGACTAAATGAACTAAAATAACTCATACATGATACTAATGGCTTACTAATGGCTATATCTAAACTAAACTAAATCTAGTCTAGTTTTTAGTTACTAGTCATACTATACAGTATACAGTTACAGACTTTACATGAATCATAATCATAAGACATGCTAAGATAAATGATAGTCACGGCACGACTCACGGACACTGAAATTCAATTTTCTTGTCATTATTTTATTTTACAAGACAAAAATAAAATTTACTGATCACTGCAGTGATAAGTAAGTAATTAATAAAGCTATTTATAAATTGTAACTGTTACGTTAATTTTTTTAGGAATTCTCTTTGTACTTGTACATTGTCAGAGTTACGGTTTAAGTATAGGCCTATATATACGTTACTATTACTAGACTATAATTATTATCAACTATAATAATTGACTATTATTATACGATATTACTACTATTGATGAGTACAAGTACAAGTCTAGAATGAAGTATAATTAAAAATTAAAGTCTTATACTTATACTTATGACTTATGGCGATCAGTTAAATTATGTTGTAATAAATCCTACATTTCTGAGGGAAATCGTACAAATAATATTAAGTTATTAAGTATAAATGTCCCAATGTACAATTGATTGAAATATTTTTTTGGAATATATAACTTTTAATTCAAACTACTCTAACTTTCTCAGATAAGTCAGATAAATTACAAATTACCTCTTCCATATGCTTTAACAACACATTTTTTTTTTACCAAAGTCATAGACTAAATATATAATTTATTTTTAAATAGACGATTTAGAAATAAGACAATTGTTTAAAACTAGTTACTAGTTAAAATTAGTACCAAACAATAAAAATTGTAATCGAAATGCTAGTGCTAGAGGTAGTAGTAGGCTAATAGAGTCTCATATTGAAAAATTAAAGTTAAAAAAAAAATGTGTGCAAACACTATTATTCTGATAATAAAATGGTAAAAACGGTTTGGGAACTTAATAATTTAATTTTATATATCGGCCTATATACTAGAATAAATGACCCGATGTTATCGGAGTAATCATGGGAATTGTTTTAGTAATGTTTTAATATACCTAGTTTTAATTTACGGTAGCGTATTTGTATGGTGAACGAACGGACAGGATATCAGCTTAGTTACTTTCTCTTTATTTTCTTTTTATTTAATAACTTTTTTGTCTATTTTTATCTAAAATTTTATTATCCAATGAATCCAGGGGGGGGGGGGTGGCAAGTGCCCCCCCTTGCCCCCTCCTGCGGGCGCCCATGGTCCTTGGTGATAATTTCCACCTGCTATTGCAAAAACTCATCATAATTCCTAACTTTAAAAAGAAGTATCTAAAATCTAAATCTATGTAATGATATTTACGTTTCTAACATCATTCAGTTTTGAGAAGTTTTTATCTGCTATACTATATGCCTACCCTACTCCATTTCACGCCCATAAACTACACCCCCCCCCCATAACCTGACTTTAAATTACCCAATCTAACTAAATTATAACTAATTATATCACTTTGGGGGCGTCCATTAATTACGTCAACAAAATAGGGAGGGGGGTAGGAAATGTTTGACAGTTGTTGACAAAAGGGGAGGGAGGGGGTAGACGTCAACAATCATGTTTTATCTATTAAAATTTTAATCTTAAAAATTGAATGGTTATTACATTATTTTAAAAAATTTATAAGTGTAAATGAGTGTAAATAGTCTTATAATTTTTAGGCTTTTAACAATATAAGATTTATTTAATGTGTGTCAGTCTGTGCACTGATGATGGCTGGTCAGAATGTTAGCAGACTTTGTTAGTGTAAGAAGAACTCAAAAGTTGGCCTCTCTTCACCTGCAGATTCTATTGCAGGTATGGAACAACGACAAGGTTCAAGTGTCATGTACAGTCAAGATAAATAATATTTATAGAGTAGGAATACGATATTTTGAGAATTAGGTGAATGTAAAGTGAGTAACAATAAGTTCAATAACAACATCGCTGCTTGAACGGATTTGGAAAATCTGTAACATCTAATCTGTCTTGCATCCCAAGTCATGTTGAAAAAGCAAGTTCAATAGAACCGACTATGCCCTTTTGGGCATAAGAATTTAGCACCTGCTCCTCAACAAAAAAGGTTTAGACCAATGCAAGTAGATGCCAGGAGACAGAGAGAGCTTATGGCAATTATTGCTCACATCCCCAACGCTCCAAGTGCTGAATGGTTAAATGAGGATGATGTTGACTTGTCTGCTATATCAGTGCCGCAAGATGAAAATGATCAATCAGCTACTACAGACTATATGCAGTGCTGTTTATGATTTTTTTTCAGGGGGAGGGGGGGGCAAAAAGCAAAAATTGGTCGGTTTGTTAGTTGTTTATTATTAGAGGCACCAAACCACATAACAATTTAAATAAAACCCTCAAATTAGGGGGGTTGGGGAAAATGTCCCCATACCCTACCCAAATGATGTCTCCGATGCCCATTGTTACGAGAGAGCAAACCTGGCTACTCTTTGGGAAGATGATAGCAGCTAGAAACTATACTATAATTGTCAGATTTACTACAAACAATGATATTTAATCTTTAACAACCTTTCAATTGATTCTGAATAATAAAATTTTAGTGTAAAAACTTTTTAACTTGTTGATTAACAAGCTAAAGATGTAATGAAATGTTTTTCCTACAATTTTATGGTCATTGAAATTGGTCAGCACAAAGTAAAATTTATTTATAAATTTATTTATTATATAATTCCATTTGGGGGTTGGTGGGGGTAGAAAAATGTTGATATAATTAAATAGGGGGCAATTGAAAGTTTGACAATTGTTGACAAGGGAGGTGGAGGTGGTAAAAAATTGCTTACAAATTGTCGACGTAATTAATGGACGACCCCTTTTGTCACTAAAGGAGTTAATTGAAGACGATTTCTAAGCTAGAGAAAAAAGATACTTGAGATTTACCCCTTTTCTTGATCTTGAATTAAAACTATTTTTTTTTTAAAAATTGTAGAAAAAACATAGTCTATATATATATATATTTAAATACTTTTTAGTATAACAATTTTAATCTTTAAATCATCGGCAAAAGAAGATTTGAAAGAAACACTGTACTAAACCTTGGCCCTATGCCCTATACACGAACGCTAATCGCCTTGGCTAGGATCACTAAATAGCATAATGGCGATGAAAAATAATTTAATTATAGCATATAGCTTTTTAACAAATAATTAGCCTACATCTTTTTAACAAACACATTCATATATTTAATTGCTGTAAAGTTAAACTTTAGCAGCCTAATTCCAGTGGCTTATGAAGGGGGCGTTACCTCCGGGTAGCACCCGCTTCTTTAGATAGAGGGGCGGCATGCTTTTGGCCATCTGCAGAGATTTTTTTGTGGAAGGGGGCGGAAAAAATTTGACCACGCCACTGCTCATGTTCCCAATAAAATCATCCTATGATGCAAATCTCATAGATTTTTGGTATCCATCGCTAGCTTTTATTTTCAATTACACAAAAAATCCGGCAAATATCGTTTGTTTCACCCCACCTTCAACACCACTCCTTTTCTTCCATTCACCTGCTAATTCGCGGCGTTTCGCTTTTTTTTTTTTTACAAATAATTTAAAATGGTAATAATAAATTACTTTGTTTTTCATTATTTTTCTAAATGTCTAAAATATGAGTATAGCGGAGCCGCCTATGGCGGAAAAGGATAAAAAAAAAAGGGGGGGGGGGAGATTAACGAATATGAACTGAGTTACTGTAACCTTGTTGGGATGACACAGGCTATTTATCAGCTGCACTGATGCTTTGTGTCAATCTCCACAGCATATCTCCAGCGTAAGTCAAAACAAGATGAGGCAGACTTCCTACTAAGCGTTCCTTTAATCCCAATCTTGCCATATTCTGAGCTCTTCTTTGGAAACATCAACAGCTTGAACGGGAGACCTGCCCCACATTTGGGCTGGGTCTCGTGCAATTCCCCCACAATTAGAACTCTTTCATCTCGGCATTCTTCTATGTTAGAATTTTCACAGTGACTCACCGTGAGCCACTGCAAATGATTTTCTAGAAGTTGTCGGGATGTGCAAGTATCGTCTTCTTGACTACTTCCGACAGACGTTGTCTGGTCTACTGTCACATTAATAACTTGCTTTAAAGTTAAAGATTTGGGTAAACTTTTCTGAAAGTTTTCTTTTGATTTTGAATGGAGGTCCTCAAAGCCGTGAAACAAATGGGATCCGTCTTCCCAACTGCCATCACTAATTTCCTCAACGACGGACAGAACCGGAAGTTTGGTGAGAGATGACGCGACATTCACATCCTTTTTCGCCACCTTGATTTTAACTCTTCTCGCACACGAGGCAGCGGTTTCATATTCTTTTAAAATTGCATTGTTAACTGGAATAAATCCCAGCTCATCCTGGAGTATTTTTAACGCGTTTCCCGTCGACGCAAAAGTTGGCACCAACGGCAGGGATAGCTCACTCTCCAAGACTCCGGCAAGCCAGGGAGGTAACTGGTGTTGGGAAGGAAGGTATGGTTGGCGCAGCAGGCCAAGTCGACAGGAAGTGTTTAGTTTTTCAACACGTCCTAGATACTCCTCCAGGGCGACGCGTTTGATTCGGAGAGTATTGAGCTGTTCACGATAGTTATCATCAAAACCTGAACGGGGCACAGGTGGTTGGACTTGATCAAATTGACAGTCTTCGCTGTGACAGGCCCGACACCAATGCCGTGACCTAGAAATGGTAGACATAAATAAAATGGCATTCTTACCAGAGAGAAATACCCAAACAGTGTTTTCCTTTAACTCTAAAGATGTTTTGTTCAATGCCCACGCGTGATTAATTGAACCAGGAGCGTCTATCCCCCCAGAGAGGTGGAAGCCAAACCACCCCACCCCGTCTCCATGGAACTTGGTCAAAGCTGCATGCATTGGTTGGCAGTGTGTTCTTTCAATTTGTTCCGGGGGAGGGGCAATTCAGATGTTCGGGTGGGCAGTGCAGTGGGCGGAGGGGGTTATTCCCCCAGGTGTCCATTTTTTTCTTTTTATGGAGTGACAAAGCTGTGATAAAAACGCGCTTCAACACTGAGAGGATAATATGTGACAGTTCATTTCTATCTGTAAAGGCCACAGCATTATAAGTTTGGGAGCTTATTATAAGAGGGAGATAACTTAACATTCTAGTTTAAGTGGAAGTTTATAAGAGGGAGATAACTATACATTATAGTTAAAGTGAACGTTTATAAAGAGGGATTTATAATTTATAAGAGGCAGATAACTTTACATGCCAGTTTAAATTGATGTTTATAAGAGGGAGATAGCTTAACATTCTAGTTAAAGTGGAAGTTTGTAAGAGGGAGATAACCTTAACTCATTCCCTCCTGCAATGCTACTTCCGTATTTAATTTATTTGTCTGAGAAAGGGAAGTAACCCCGTTTGGAAATTGTTTACATTTTTTCAAAAATGTATTTAAGCTACTAAATATTATTTAATGTTAATGAATTAAGAACAAATGCAACAAAAAATTAATAAGGTTTAATATAAATATAACATTAGCGGGGAAAAAATAATGAACAATGACCAAAAAATCGATTTTCGGCACCTCGGACGAACACATGCTACATATAGACGCGCCGTACTAAAGCACACGTAGTTTTAAAGCGAAACAAGATAAAAACTTCCGGTTTTTAAATTAAAATCACGCTGAACCACGCCATCGCCGGAAGTCTCGAGGGATGCGAGATTTCATTGCTATTTTTAAATAGATATGAGAGAGGTGTGTCGCTATGCGCCGGGACGCATTAGGACGCATCCGGCGAATCCCGAAAAGACGCATTTAGTCGCAACCGTCGGGAATGAGTTAAGCAGTATTTTTTTTCCTTCTTTTATAAAGATATTTGAGATCATACAACGTTGTGCTATATCCTACAGCAAAGCGTGGGCGTTGGTTACCTTCTGTGGATCGTCTTGTTGATGAAATCCTCCAATCTGTCAGCTGAGGCAGTTTTATGGTGCAGTTTCCACGCTGTGTTTCCGGTTGCTTTGGTTTCGTCATGTCTTATTGTCTTGGTCTTCTTTTTGAACAGGTCCATTTCTTTTGACGGGGACACGTGCCACACAGGCTGCATATCACACACACATTTAATATATTTATAAGTATCATTAGTAAAATATGATTAAACTAGGGTTTAATCGGGTGCAGTTGTTTTTTTTTCCACACCGGGTCCGGGTATTTTGTGCAGTAGACCTACAGACAGTCGTACCCCCATCGTGTCGGTGTTTAAACAATAAGCCTACCGACAGCCTACACCCTACCTACCGGCCATTAAATAATAGGCTTATCTATAGATAGTCCTACACCTTAACTGCCGGCCATTAAATAATAGGCCTATGTAGATAGCCTTACACCCTACCTGCCGGCCATTAAATAATAGGCTTATCTATAGATAGTCCTACACCTTAACTGCCGGCCATTAAATAATAGGCCTATGTAGATAGTCCTACACCTTAACTGCCGGCCATTAAATAATAGGCCAATGTAGATAGTCCTACAACTTAACTGCTGGCCTTTAAACAATGGGCCAACAGACAGTCATACACTATACCCTTCTATATTTATACTAAATAAAACGTGGAGGTGGGGGGTTTCGAAAAGGAAGCAGGACACACCAGAAGCAATTTTTATAAATATGAAATACCCAGTACAGTAATATGGCACATCGCAGCCAAAGTTGTTTACTACTATACACAAATGACGAAAGGAGGAAAAAAATCATTACATCTTTCGGTGACAAAGTGTAGGGGGGGGGGATTACTAGATTATAGCAGTAACCTATGTAGATCTACTTTTTAAGGTGTACTATTATACTGCATTCATGATGATACTCTGGGGAGTGGGTAAAGGGTATGGAGGAGTTAATGAATTTTTGTCATAAAGGAATGTGACAAGATCTCAGTATCATTCTTTAGAATTTAAGTGGACTTCGTTTTTCTTACAAGTGATAACTTTCGTTTGTGATAGGTCTTAGAGTAAATAGTTGCCAGGACTCTACTTGTAACAGGTTCGCTGTAGTTCTAACAAATTAAGCAGCTGTAGTTTGGTGGTGAGAGGTAGAGAGGACAGATTGTGCGGGGCGAACGGTAGAGGCGACTTTTGGTGAGATCGCATTGGTTGAACTACTTTAACGGAAAAAGTGTGTGGGGGGGGGGGGAAGGGTTCACCGACTGGGAGGGACTGGGAGGTTTGGGGGGGGTGTGGAATTGAGGCAACGGGTGGGGGGCCATCAGGTCGAGAACGGGTACCATATAAAAATGTGGTGAGAGGTTGAGAGGACAGATTGTGCGGGGCGAACGGTAGAGGCGACTTTTGGTGAGATCGCATTGGTTGAACTACTTTAACGGAAAAAGTGTGTGGGGGGGGGGGGAAGGGTTCACCGACTGGGAGAGACTGGGATGTTTGGAGAGGGTGTGGAATTGAGGCAACGGGTGGAGGGCCATCAGGTCGAGAACGGGTACCATATAAAAAGATGTCTAATTGAACTCTGGTGATCTGGTAAAGCTCTAACCATTGGGTGATTGAAGTGGTCCTAGTCAAGTCTCGTAATAATTCTAATATAAAAATGCATAAATTCTATCAACATAAGCTAAAAACCTAAACCATTTGTTGACAATCTACTGCGTACTAGTGCTAAACGAAACATAAACTATCTCAGAAGGAAGAATCTGCCGGTGGAAAAAAAATAATATTTTGTAAAATGGAATGTATCGGTAAAAAATAGGTATCGTCCATTTTCAAAAAGTCCCTTAAAACTCATCTGTTTAGGTCCGCCTATGACCTGTGATGCACCCTCCTTGCCCTACCTCATTTTCTGTTTCGGGTTGATCCTGAAGTGTCAAAGTGTCCTCGTTTTATAGCCATTTTCATTGTTTCTATAGAATAGTATCATTTTCTGTTTCGGGTTGATCCTGAAGTGTCAAAGTGTCCTCGTTTTATAGCCATTTTCATTGTTTCTATAGAATAGTAGTTACTATCCTAGTGTCTCATTTGTATTTACTTAGTTTACATGTTTTAACAATTGTAAAGCGCTTAGAGCTTTATGATAAGCGCTATATAAAAATGCCTAAATAAATAAATAAATAAATGTATCGTACTCTAGCTTACTTTCTAGATCCCCAGACGATAAATCTTACACATTACCGGTACTTGATTATAACGAGAACATAATAGATTTTAATATATCGATATTGGAAAAGTGTTGACTATGTAAAATAGATCTACGTCTAACGTCATTGCAGAAGGAAAATTTTTTTTTGCAACGAAACAATTCAGCTGGCTTAGAGAGTACACTTTTTATTTTTCTAACATCACTCAAGTAATGGAAATATATATATATATATATATATATATATGTATAAGTGCTGCTCTGCAACACCTCAAACTATCCTTCGCCCTGTTTTAGAGACTATTACAAAGGTCCTCCTAACCTATAATTATAATCTTCATATTTCCTCTCTGTGGGTTTGGGGGAGGGTTGTCACAAGTTGGGTAACGTTGACTTTATTTCATTTAATTGTATCTCACGTCATGTTTATGTTCTGGGGGGAGGGCTGAGAGCTCATTGTACGAACACATTTAAGGGGTGTCCAATAAGGGCGGGCGCGTCAAGAGGGAAAAAAAAGGGGGGGGGTCCTAACTAATAGATCTGTCATAGAGGAATACAATGCATTCGGTAGGCCTAGAGCAGCGTATGACAAATAGATCAGCCATAAAGAAATACATGCAGTGGCCTAGAGCAGAGCAGCATATAACAAATAATCAGCCATAGAGAAATACATGCAGTGGCCTAGAGCAGCACACAACAAATAGATCAGCCCTAGAGGACTACATGCAGGGGGCCAAGATCAGTGTCTAAAATGATGGCTGAACATACAAATTAAACAAGATTGAACAACAACCCTCAACAATAATTATTAAAACTGAAAGACTTTTATTGGATACAAATAAACAAAAAAAGGCGCATTTACTTTTATTCTTATCCACAATTTTACTATGACACAGGTCACTTACTGCACTCCATTTTTGTTTTCAAATAAAATTAATTAACATGTATGAATTCAAGCATTTATTTATGAACAAATAACAATTTCAATTATAAATTCATTTCTGAAGCATCATTTTCAACAACATAGATATCACATTACATAAATTCTCACAGCGCAGACATGTAGTCTAGCTGCTTCAAACAGAATTTCAAATAAAATTCATCAAGTAAACAATATCATCTGGACAGTGTGTCCAACCTATGAAATGATGGCCATCAACATGCCAATGTCTTTCATCCAGCCATCCAAGCGCAAAAAAATTTTTTTTAATGACCTCAGGGATTGCTCCAGGCATGTGATCATAGAACTTACTATTTAAACGTTCAGCTAAAAGAGTTTGTACTGTTATTCAGTTACTACTAAATATTTGATACAGATATCAGGAACTAAAACTGAATACCGGTAGTTAGAATTTAAAAAAAAAAATCAAAATGATTTGAAATGTTGGTTTAGTTGGACAAAGGTATTCCTAATGAAATGTTGGTTGCTTTGTTGGACAAAGGTATTCCTAGTGAAATGTTGGGTGTTTAGTTGGACAAAGGTATTCCTAGGGAAATGTTGGTTGTTAAGTTGGACAAAGGTATTCCTAGGGAAATGTTGGTTGTTAAGTTGGACAAAGGTATTCCTAGGCGTTATGTTTTAAAAGTTTCTAGAAACAAAACTATTCTGTAGTGACCAATGAAACTCAATGTCACATGTTCATGAACTATTGCTTAAGAAATATCATTACTCCACTGAGATCATTTTACAACAGATACAAGAACAATTCAGTAAAGGCAAAGACACTTTCCCATATTGCCAAGTTGAACCAGTAGTGACCTACCGACCTCACATTATCTTCTACTGCAGCGTTCCCTGCCTTTATTTTCTCCCTTACTCCTTGATGAGACTTTCCATTTATGTGTAAACACCCGCTGCTGTAGTAAAAGAGTTCAACACATTGATTCAGGTTTAAAAAGTATCTAATTCTGATATATGGGAGCAGATGGATCCTTGTTATGTAGGACGTGTTTACGTCATATTTCCCCCGTGCTGAGATCCCTAGCAGACGCTGCGTTCGTATTGGGCGTGGCTTATTTCTTTTGATCTTGTTTGCCACAAATTAAGCTATCACCTGTTTTGTTTGAGTCAAAGGCTTTAGAAAATTATAGTAAATGTGGAATGTTCTAGTTACTAGTACAATCCGGAATATGCCTCAAATTTTCGGTAGAACCGACTATAAAAGCAAAGAGAGCAATATTGAGTGAATAAGATTTTGACTTCACGAGACAAGACCTACCATACTCTGTAAGTTGATGATTTTTAATAATTTCTTTTACTTTGTAATTATATAGATAACTAAATAAATCGTATTAATTGTAATTAGTACTCTTTTGAGTGTCATATTTGTACTATTGTTTTTCACATACGGTATCGTCCTTTGTTATGCACTGTTTAGAACGAGCCATAAATTAAAAATAAGAGATTAATTTCTCACAATAGACAGCAGAGCGTAACAATACTCCTGACATTAGCCAAGTGAAGTATTAAAGAATGGACCACAAAGATCAGGGTACCCTCAAGACAAACAAGGCTTTTTTACTAGAACACAATAGACAGTTATGTCATTAGATAAATTGTTTCCATTTAGCATTCAGAAATTTAAATACAATATTAATAAAGTGAAATGACTATTACTATTTCTTAATTTAAATAGAAACAAAGCCAGTGCCTTACAGGAATACTCATAAAGCAAAACCCAGAAGCTTTGTCTTTTTAGCTTAGTAATAAATGAAGTCATGGCCTTAAACATTTAAATGCTTTTACAACATACAATAGAAGTTACAGTGGATTGTCACAATGGCATAAGCCTTGCATATTACAGTCTGTTGTAAATAATCTATACTCTATTGCTTTTAAAAGTTTTCTCATTTCATTATCTTTCTTAAGACCTTTGTTATGAATAAACACCTAAAGATTCCATTTTCCTTTTCAGCTTGGCTTCAGTGCTTGTCTCAATTCCGTTTGAACAGTTTTTGAATCTTCCCAAGGTCGGGGGCCTCGAATATTTTCCCAGTCTTCAAGATCTCTTTGTTCAATTTCCTGTAAAATAATTATTGATTGTAAGCACAAAGAAACTGTTTCACATGTCAAGACATACAAAAAACAACCCAAAAACCCCCAAACTAAGCAATGTGAATGAAAATAAATCATTCAGTCTAAGTCTGTATGACTTTACTAATATAATGTTAACCATCAACTTTTGATATAATGAACATAATGAATTTTGAATTTTTATTGCTTTACTATTAAGCCTGAACGGCATAACACAACAAAAAATTGAATATTTTAACAATACGAATAAGCTTTTAAGCAACAAAGCATGACAAGCACAAAAATCTTAAATTAACATGCAATTAAATAACCACAAAAACCTTGGAGAGAACTTGTAATTGACGCAATGCAAAAAGTGATAGAACTTTCATAATTATTTAAAAAAAACTAAAACAATTTACCTCCAGCATTTCTTGTATTGCAGCCTCCACATTTCCAGATTTGAGACCCAAGGCCTCAGCTTGTTCGTTCGACAACTGGGGAGATAATGATCATGATGACCTTTTTTTTAATTTTTTTGTGAGGCTGGTTAAATGTTACTTTTGAATCTTGTGTTATATATCAAATACATATTAATGTTTCAGTTTTAAGGAAACTTATTGATAACATTAAATACTATTGAAAAAAGCTTTAAAAAATTTAAAATAATACCAACTAAGGTCCATGTTAGGTTCAAAGTTCTTTGTTGTCAAAATGGCACCAAAAAAACAATGGTTCTAACCTTTTGGCTCTTTCTGAATTCATATCTGAGACTTGCAAACTGTTTCAGAAACACAGATCCACCAGCAACAAACAACTGAAATTTAAAAAAAAAAAAAATTTTTGAGTGATGGTTTAGTGCTGCTACTGGATCAACCATTTCCCAGATTTGACTAACTTTGTGTGTGTTATGAAGGAAATTGATCCATTAAAGGCAGTCAATGCAACAAACAAAAGTATCTGATACATGTCAATAATACAAGGGACAGTGTGCTAATTATGGGTAATATGGTGTGAGATCTCAGCAGTCTATGTTTATCCCCTGGTTACCAAAAATGTGTACAAAAGAAATTTGTAAACAAAAATGGGGAACTGTGTGAGGGGAGGGGGGCAACAGAAGATCATTTGCTGCCCTTGCAGCAAATTTCAGTTAAACAACAAAGTTACTTCATTCATCCCCAATTATGTTTAGGCTCAGGCCAATGTAAGGAAGGAAGCATTGAGCTCTACTCATTGACTCATTGCATATTACACTTAGAATGCTACTTGCCCTACCCAACACCGGCCATTTTTTAAATTAGGCTAGGCTTAACTGGTCTAGTAGGCCTTTTAATTTTTTAAATTGTTTTTTAAACTCTGAGTCTGTGACAGTGAGTGTCAAGCTTAATTTTTGGCATTGGATAATTTTGAAATAAAAAACTTTAATTACACTCTTTATATAGTTAAAGAATATGTATCAAATCAAATTAATTATTAGAATAAAGCAATAAGCTGAATTTAAGTCCATCTCAAATATCAAAATTCAATTTAAGATACCTAAGTGGAGGGTAGTCTCTTATTACGAGTTCCATATTGAGAAATTATAATTTATATTTGTTAATCATTTTCTAATTATGAACTTATTTACCAGATGTAATAACATTAAAACACTTCAACAGTAAACATTTTTTAATGAAAAGAACAAATATTTAATGTTTTCCAATTAGTTGTCTTATAGTTTTGTTGGTTTTTAAAGGGATTTTAAATTTCTGAATTCTCCTCATATACCACAATGGCACTGTGATTATCGTGAATAGCAAAAGATGCATGTAGGTTTACTTTTTTATCTTGTTCAATTTGTTAAATAATTACTATTGTACATGAGGTGAGCTAGAGGTGCAGAGGGTATTAGACCAATAGTCCTGCTTAGATTAGTCAGAAAATTGGCAACACAAGGGTTGTCAAATCCAGGTCTGTTCTGTCATGTTTAGAACCAATTGCCACAATAAAATGTGCTCATTCAAGCATGGGTTGTAGATACATATACATGGCTTTTAAACACGTTAATAATAGTCACGTATCGTAATAATAGTGATTCTAAAAGTAAAACTAAATAGAATTTTTTTTTAAACAATAAATTCAATAATTATTATAACTGGCATTTGAGGTAAAAATGGTATGATCTGTAACTTGGCTTTTCTTTTGGATTTCGGGGAAAATTGATATTTGACTTATAAAATCATTTTGGCTATTATAATGTAATAAGTTGATTGGCCTATTTAAAATTTATTTTAAAAAATTTATGGAACAAAATTTTTGGGCTAATGATGGGTAGGGCAATAAGCACCCTGAGCATATTACGTGATGGGAAGAGCGCAAAGCAAACTTAGAATAATTCACTATGAATGCTTCCTTCCTCATGCATTTTGTGGTGAGCATAGCAAATTTATTGTACCGGGTATTCCTCTATATACGGTGTAAGAAGTGTCCATGACATGTGGTTGCTCCCATCGCTCGAGTATCACTAAACTTTTGCTTTCCACGTTTGCTAGTAACACACTGTGGTGAAAATTGGAGAGCGCAAAAATAAACAACAAAATAATAATTATTTTTTAAAATATTGCTCGTGATAACAAAAAGGAGGAACTGGGCATTGTGGGTTGAGCGATTATATTATGCATGCGCATTACCAACATAACAAATTGAGCCCTGGGAAGCCGCAATTTTTCAATGGGCTCACTTTCCCCATCCAGTAACTTCAAATTTCAAAATTTTTTTTGCATTGAACTTAGTATGTTAAAATAAGAGAATATTGGAGGAGGCTGCTAATTTTAGTTGAAATTAAATTAAGTTTAGTCTGGCCTACATTCTTTCTTTAGTTTAGTATTAGTATCTTAGTGCTAGTAAAGTAGTAGCTACTTTAATTAACAGTTTAAATTAACATTCTAAATTTTATTTATTTATTTAGGCATTTTTATATAGCGCTTACCTTAAAGCTCTAAGCGCTTTACAATTATTAAAAACATGTAAACTAAGTAAAATAAAAATGAGACACTAGGATAGTAACTACTATACTATAGAAACAATTAAAATGGCTATAAAACGAGGACACTTTGGCACGTTTTGGCCTATAATTAAAGTTTAGTCTTCGTTTAGTTAGTCTATCTAATGGCTATGCTGGTCCGCTATGTCTACAATGAACAATCATCGTAACAATGTGATAGAGATGGGCACGGGGAAATTCCTTATCTTACTTCGACACAAGTCAAGGGATGTCCACGGCCGTGGCCGGAAGTTTTGAATTTTTCTCCCTCTGGAGTAACGGTCGCAGCATATTCTGTTTATCTGTCCACAAGTTGTAGTTTGAAATTTCTGAGATTTTTTTCTCTAGTTTTCTCTGATCTTCTGGCCTTGTGAATTTTTAAAAGGCTAAATTTTGCACACATTTCCTGTAGCATGTAGAGAAGATTGATACAAGTCTTTGAATCATTCTCTCTGAAACATTTGGACATACCAAGGTGTATAAAACCCATTGACCAAAAGTCACAAACAAATGGACGAGAGTTCATCCCCATCATTGTTGTTAGGGATAGAAATTTGTAGGTCTCTTAATTTTTGACAGGTTTCCAGTTTCTAAAATTCTAAAAATAAAAATCTTGCATGTTGGAGTGTTGACTTTAACTCTGTAGGAAGCATACTCATTTATTGAGAGTACAAGCTTGTGAATAAATGTGTGTCTAACAAAGTAAAAAAACAGTCACGTTCAGAACAATTTGACTTTATAGTCGCATTACAAGCTCCAAATTTACACCTACATCTTTTAAAGGCAATAATCTGAAATTGCACTCAGTTTTAGTGCCAAGATCAGCAGCTTTCCTGTTAAAATCTACATTATTTATAGTAGCAACAGTATTAGCTCTTCTAGAAGGAACTTTAGCTGGGGGCGGGGCTGGTTGTTCTTCAGCTGATGAATTATCAATTTCAGTGTTACTTTCGTCGCTAGTATTATTACTTCTACTACTAGATTACTAGGATTATTACGATTCATCAGAATCAGCCTCTGCAAACGAAATCATAAAATCACTGTCTGAATCGTCATCAGTGTAATGCCGGTATTTTCTATTAATTAGATCGATTGCTAGGTCAAGATTTTATGTTTGTAAGCAAAAATAAAATAGATAATCAAAACTACCTCTTCAAATACTTCATTCTCTGTAAAATCTAGATCATTCTAAATTTGATTAAAAGTAATTTAAAACTAATAGCTTAGAAAAGAATCGAAACGAACAGGTTTTTATGCATGGACGATCTTGTCGTCGATCCGACCAAAAACTTCATTTAAAATCGACAATGGGAGCATTGATCCGGAGAGAATGTGTTCAGCGTTTGAAAATTACGAATTATGCAAATTTAAAATAGAGAAATTATTTTTTATTTTTACAAATTATTTTTTTTAAAATTATGCGGCATAGAAAAGGAGTGATGAAACTAGCGATAAAAATTGGATTACATTACATCATTGAAGTGTGCTCACTTGTACTGCTGCTTCAGTGCCCTTGCACTAAGAAATGATTAGTTAATTTTTTTTTTCCCCCCACTGTTAATTTGGTCTTTGGTTTTTGGAAGATTTTTTGTATCAGTTGAAATTATGCCACATAACTAGATAGATAGAGGGATCCAAAAAAGACAAAGCTGGTAAGTTCAGCAGGAAATTTATTTATTTTTCTGTACTGATATTATACGAGGAAAGGGGGAGACCGCAAGTCGATGATACTTCTACTTCTTGCCGCATTGCGGCATAGTCTAGAGTGACACAATACAATAAAGTAGCTATGTTCACCAAGAAATTTATGCACCAGCTAAAATTATTTCATTAAATTTGCATGTTTCTTGTTATTTTTTTAATAGTTTTTTTATTTGTAATTTGTTGACTTTTCACTTCTTCCAAATAGAGCTAGTTGGTTAGTTAGACTAGCCACCAATTATTTATTACATTTTCTTTAATTTTACCTTTTACTTTACTCACTTACGCCAGATATTTTATGCCCTTAACAGCACTTTTTACCAATAAACTCATTCTATTTACAATGCATTGTTAATCCAAGTCATTAACTTACAACAAAAGGAATTCCTCTTCTCAGAAATTTCCGTTTCATTACATGACCCCAAATACTGCGAATGGTCTCCGCCATGTTGTAATCTTTTGGTCAGAGATCAGAAAAGGAAAACGCCAAATGTAACTCCGTGAGCTGGAATGGTGGCAGTGACGCGGTGCATCATTTCAGTGGAGGACTCGTTGTAATTCTTAACTTGGAAAAGAAAAAAAAAAAAAAAATCAAATCAAATTTTACAGAAATTTTAATTGTTCATTGTAACGCTCAGTGCAGCATTTGGAAACCTATGAACCGATAGGCTAGATTACTTTAATATGAATAATAATAAAACTTGATACTAATTTTGACAAGCGAGTTTAATCATTTTAATAACAAAATTTATGGGAAATGTGGCATTCCAATATCTGACCATGCTGGAAATATTTTTTAATTGTACCGGTAAATTATAAAATTAAAGGCATAAATCAAAAAGGACTCAAACTTGTTTACAACGCATGATCGATAAATTGAACCAATGAATTCCAATGTAAAACATTTGGCGCAGGAATTTTGTTCCCAACATTAAACAAAAGTTTGAGTACCTAATTTATTATTTTCATAATGGGTCATGTACGCCCGGAGCGGACCAAGCTTTTTGCCTCCTTCATTCCACAAAAAAATCCACAAGAAAATGGCGCCCCTCCATATAAGGAAAAAAGTGCCACCTAGGGAGGAAAGCCACCCCCCCCCCCTTTTTTTTTTCCTAAGCCATTAGTCATATCATCCCCCGGATTGTTTGAGTTTTAACTTGAATTCTTTTACATTTTGTGTGTTATCGCAGAATTTCTAAATTACATATTGTCGCACTGCTGAAAGAAGGAAATGCACCAAAGACATCAGAAAGGAGAAACGCTGGTTAAAGAACTGCTTAATGCAACGAGTCATCTTGAAAATGCTATATGGCTTAAAGCTAGACGCAGCATAATTTAAACGTTTGAAGACCAGGACTTAGGGGCTTAGGTATCACCAGGGACCAGGGTTTCTTTCAGGCATCTCTCCGGGGGAAAGTCAAGTGCCCCCCCCCCCCCAAGCAAAAAAAGTATAACAATAAAAAAGGAAGGTTATTTTTTTCGGCAAACAGACGCGATATATATTTAAACGGTTGAAGACCAGGAATTAGGGGGTTAGGTATCACCAGGGACCAGGGTTTCTTTCAGGCATCTCTCCGGGGGAAAGGCAAGTGCCCCCCCCCCCCCAAGCAAAATAAGTATAACAATAAAAAAGGAATGTTATTTTTTTCGGCAAACCGATGCGATATATGCTCAAATAATCCGTTTTAGTACGTTTAGTGGTTTTTACAATGCGTTCTCAACTATTCTACACAACACGGTCAGATGACCTATTATTAGATTATTAGTGGCAGATGAAGTCTATTGTTAGAGCTGTCCCTCAGTTTGAAAGCTCAGTTTGGTACTAGTACAAACAGTCGTGCAGCGCTAAGTAGTTCCTAACGTCTGCATTATTATTGAGGGACTGCTATGAATGCCATCTGTACATATGCAAACGCGTTCAGTGTTCAAACAGCAGTGTAAAATAGAGCAGACTATGTGATTGTGATTTCTAATTCCATTCTCTGTCTCTCAATCGCTCTCTCCATTTCCAACAACACCCCACCAACTATATTTCAGTCTCCATTGTATACCGCAGCTGACCGACCTAGCGTTTGCCATAGTAAACTGACACGCGAAGCGATTGGCCTAACTTTTTAATACTTTTATTCTATATTGAATTTGCATGTTGTTGTATTTTAAAATAAATAATAATTGTAAAATACCTAATTTACTAAAAAATAATAATAATAATAAGTAATGATGAATTAATTCCATTAATTTTTTGTGATAATCAACAACCAGTTGTTTGTTTCAAAAGCAAAAATATGGAATATTAGCGCCTAGTCCATTTAAATGGACGTTTAATCAATTGATTTTTAATCGAAAACGTTCTTATTGTTTTTACCATAGAAGGATCATTTGGTTAGACAACATGCCGTTAGATATCTTATTATTGGAATACGTAAAAGCAAGCACGAAGAGTCAGTGTGTGCGGAAAGTTGTGGTGTATCTAATCGTTAGAATATGTCCGTACAGGTGTTGCAACACTAGAATGGGGATACTTGTCAGCCTGTTGATCCACAACTGTACAGTCGAAGGTGAAGTTTTCTATTTTGTGTTAAATGTCCAGTTATGCCTAAGGGGCGGGGGTGAGGGAGACAGTTAGATGGTCGGGGTGCGCTTTGTTTACTTACTGTTAAATATCCAGTCCTGCATTAGTGTTGGGGGAGATAGTTAAAAGATCGAATGTGCTTTGTTTACTTACTGTTAAATTTAAATGTTCAGTTATGCATTGGTGTTGTTTGTTTTTTTTTGGGGGGGGGGTGGAGTGGGAGGAGAGATAGTTAGAATGCGCTTTGTTTTCTTACTGTTAAATGTCCAGCCAGGCAAGTTTGGGAATGTTAAAGCAAAGGGGAGCCTCAAATTTAGTGTTGGTTTGACAATAAAGAAATCAGGAGCAAAGTTTAATTATGACTTTTATGACTTTTAATGCTTAGATTGAACCAATCAAAGGTATAACTTTATGGGATATCAACTGAGTTGAAAAGGACAGGCTGATTGGCCACTCTTACTTACTGTAGACTTGTAAAAGAAAATCAGATTAGAGTTGTGAAACCAAAAGTTATTCTATTTTTTTAGGGATGGTGATATCCGCTAGTAAACACTAAATAATGATGATGCACAATGATTTGAAAGAAGAAGACGTATCAAATCTACGTTGAAAATTAGAACAAATAAGAAAAAAGTGCATATATTTACATGTATGCAAGGTTTCTTTCAGGCATATCTCCAGGAAAAGGGGGGGGGGTCATCCATATCCATCCATTGTTGGTCCACATATGTTCCTGAGAACGTTTCACTCCCATGTGTTTAAAAGGTTTTCTGACGTTTTTGTTAGGGTCCAAGTTTTCCTTGCGTATGTTACAACTGGTCTGATTACATTTTTATAAATAGTTTTCTTTGTTTCTCTTGCATTGTTTTTACGTTTAAGTATTTTCTGACTACTGAAGTATGCCCACAGACTGAGTGAATCCAATTTATGTATGGCATTGGGAGCCAAAATGCCTCCCACAAAACATTAAAAATATTCTTCCCCGTTATAAAAGTAAAATAAAAGCATTGAATTCAAATATACTCAAAAGCACACCTCTTGACTTTGATATAAACAAAAATTTTCTGGGGAGCAGGCTCCTCAGACCGCTCCACTGATCAATATTCATCGGCGCCCTCAATTTCCGCCCTGCTTCCCGATGAAAATACTCCCGGATTTCGGTATCGACAGCGACAGTGCCTAGTGGTGCAGCTACTATTAGAGCCGCCATGAGGGGCCGGGCAAATATTTTGGCCATCCTCTCTTTCACGACACAAACTCTGCAGTTGTCAGAAAATGCCACACCTGCATACAAAGAAAAAGTGACACCTCGTTGCACCACCCCATCCACCTTATTTCGACGCCACTAGCAGGTGCGTATCTACAGTGTTTGGCGTAAAGGGACAAGATTCTGTTTTACACACCCCCCCCCCAACCTATTTAACTCTGATACGTTTTTTCCCCTCGCAATACATACTATCAAAGCACATTTTGCCCCCTCCCCGCTAGTCTGGTCCCCGTGACATATGCCCCATCTGCCACCCCTTAGCTAAGCCTCTGGCCACTGGAAAATGGAAAATCTGAAATCCCCCACCCCCGGGCAAAAATGTCTGAAAGAAACACTGTCAGGGACTTGGGTCCAGAGGCGCATACCTAGGGGGAGACAATTGGACCAACCGAGGGGTGTATTTTAAAAATGGTTAATTCCAAAAGTTATGGAATAAAGTGTGTGTTGGAGCGCAATTTAAAGGCAGCATTTATTCAAAGTAGGCCAACACCGTTTGGTATCACGCAAGGTCCGAAAAGCACACTGTTTGTGTTGTGTTGAGTATTTGGTGAGATTAGCTTAGTGGGAAACCTATCAGAATCATGAGAAAATTACTGACTGTACATTCTTTTAAGGGTCGTTCGCAAATTACTTCACGCAAAAAATAAACTTTTTAGATCCCTTCTCCCCCTGTCACGAAGTGTCACAAATTCTTTACGCCCTCACCCCCCCCCCCCATTTTTTAGTTTCACGTCATACCTAACATTTTTTAAACATGCATAACATTTTCATAACTAAAATAAGATTTTATTTTAGTCTTTAACAGTTTCCCATAATGATAATGGATTAATATAGAGTATTATTAGAAATCTGTGACGTGAAACAACAAAGTCATCCCCGCGCCGAATGTAAAGTGGCCACAACAGTTTTTGCGCAAAAGATGTGCGCGACTGAGGTTCACGTTATCTATAATACCTGACGCAATTTCGACCTCAAATTAATTTTAAAACATTTAATTGAATAAAGATTTTTCAAAATTAGAAAAATTTGTATTAAAATTTTTTTTTTTTTTTTCAATTGTGACTCACAAATTTTTGACCACCCCCCTCCCCCTGAGTGTGACTTAACATGGGAACGACTCCTTATGTGACTTCATTTTCTTATAGCAAAGGGATGGGGGACAAAGATTGCAGGCAGAATTTAGCCCTTGTTAAAAAAATCAAAGTTTGTACAAAAGTTGCATTATCAAGCTTAGAGCTTGACATTCTCTCCAAATGTGATTTTTGTATAATGTATGTGAAATTTGACACATGGAACGTTCTTATATTAGAAATATGTACAAGACCATCTAACGACATGTTTCCCAACGTGGGGCATGGGCCCCGCCGGGGGGCAATTTGATTGTTTAGGGGGACGATTCGAAAAATGAGTTGTCTAGATTTGAAAACCAGCAGTCTACAATGATTTAACTTGTGTTTTAAAAGGCGAATCGTTAAAGTCTCAATTTAAAATAAGTGTTCATTAAAAGTGTTCTAAAAAATCATTTACGTTTCTTTAGTGAACAACCCTATTTTTGAATATTAAAAATCTATGTATATGATACATGGAGGGCATACGAATTTTTGAAAGGATTAGGTGGTGCATGGC